GGAGTACATCCCATTCACAGACAGTGGGGCTATAGTGATCATGGTCGGGGCCTGCACCTTGATGGGTCTCACACTAGCCATGTCCGTTCTCTTTGCCATCAACTACAACACCCCTGTTGTCAGATCTGCTGGGGGACCAATGTGCTTCCTAATTTTAGGCTGCCTCAGTCTGTGTAGTCTTAGTGTGTTCTTTTACTTTGGTAAACCAACAACTTCCTTTTGTATCTTAAGGCTCTTGCCATTTCTTTTGTTCTACACTGTTTGTCTGGCATGTTTTGTGGTTCGCTCTTTCCAAATTGTTTGCATTTTCAAAATAGCTGCCAAGTTCCCCTTGCTCCACAGTTGGTGGATGAAATATCATGGACAATGGCTGGTCATCACTGTGGCATTTCTTACTCAGGCACTCTTACTTCTTATTGGCTATTCTTGTGTCCCACCCAAACCCTACAATGAGACAGTTTTTGGTACCCAGACAAAATACTACTTGGTTGGTGGACATTTAATTTTAAGCAAGCTTCTACTTCTGTAGTTTTGGTAGTGGGGCCGGGGACGGCGCCTCGCTTTACGGGCGGCGCGCCCGTGCGGTCTTTATCTGTGTTCTCGTTGCTTTTTTTCTCGGCTTCATTGGAATAAGCCCCAATAATTTACAGGATGAGGCAAACCCAAGTAACCTTCTGCGCTGCTCGCTGCTCACCTCACCGCTGGATCATCTTTTGCCACGAGAAGCACCATGGAAAGTATATCCACTTAAACGCACTGCAGTACTCTCCAGTCTCTACTCCTTTCTGTTGTGGTATTTCCTCCCAAAATGTTACATCATAATTTTTCAATCACACAAAAACACGCAGCAGTACTTCCAAGGCCTCATTCAGACTTATACCAAAACAATTAGCCAGTAGCAGCTTCCAGTGAATATCTGTTACTTTATACAGAAGAACTGATGATATTTTTAATCATTAATAATACTTACTTTTAATGAAATTATAATAATTTGGCTACTTAGAGTAGATGGTCAAAAAAGTACATAGTTTAAATATTGTCTCTGTTTCGATGTAATCTAATGTTGCATGTTACAGATATTTCTGATTGGTTATTTGGTTGTTTTACTGAGGGATTTATTAATAAGCATCTTGAAATTAGCTATACTATATACAATAATACAAGAGACACTCATATTGTTGTTTCCAGGATGGTTGACATCCCTTAGTCCTACTCTGAGCTTCTGGCTTCAAAAGCTAAACAAAACTATGCTGTACTTCTGGTTCTTGCCTTGAGCTAAATGCTAACATCACACGCTAACATGCTCACAATTACAATGCTTACATACTGATGCTAAGCAGTTATAATGTTTACTATGGTCAGTTTTAGTCAGGGGATCGCCAAAGTTATTACGATTCATTCCGACACTGCCATCCATAAAGCCAGATTTTTTTGCCTTGCTAGCTTGGCTAAAAATCTGAGCAGCCATGTCTTGTCAGTCTTTAATTCCAGTAGCTTGTAGCATGGCACTAGGCATCGCAATGTTGGCCGATTGGTCAATCTGCTGGTGGGTCAATTGGTCACACTTGTGTCCACACTGAAATAGCTCAAGAAGTAGCTAGATGGATTTCTGATGGATAAAGACGTATACTCAACAGACATAATGGAAATATGTTTTTAGGTGTAGCCCTGATTGTTTTCTAAACAACTTTGTACACATCATCTACACCCAGAGGAGTTCTGTTCAAGGTTTTTTTGAGGCTGTTATAACAGTAATATCACCACATGAAAGCACCACCTCACTGTGAAACCGTCTACTGGCTACACTACAGTCATATTTTTAATGTACTTAACTTAACTTTGTGTATTGAGATTAAAGGGTGCAAGATGTCAGGGTTTTTGTGCAAATGTTGTACAGGTTCAGAGTTTGTTTCTGTGCACAACTTTGTTCAAATATAAATTTAAGATTAACCTAGAGTAATAAATAAAGGCTACTTAGATCTACTGTACTGTTTCTGTATCTTTGTAGGCACATGAAGCAATTTTCAGAAAGTTTATTGTTGAACTGTTTTAATATGTGTCTTGTCTTGAGCATGCTGTACCTTTGAATGAAGTTATCCCACAATCAAACCTCTGGGGCACCTGGGTATCTGACCTGGCAGAGCGTGTGTCCAGTGTACTAAGGCTAAGTCCTTAACGCAGTGGCCTTTCCAGCCCGTGGCTCTTTGCTGTATATCATCTGCTTGCTCTCTTTCTCTCCCCCTTACCTGGCTATCTTCAGCTGTCACTGCCCAAATAAGGGCATAAAAAAGCCCGGAAAATATATAATAATATACAAACCTCATTTTACCAACTTTTCTACTTACCTTTACACCCATTCAATGATGAAATGTGCCCACTGTGTAGTGTTGCAGTGTGGGCCACGTATATTTTTATTTGACCATGTCAGCTAATTACCGATACAATGCTCTGAACCATGCATCATAGACACTTCATAAGATAGGCATAAAATTGCCACCATAAGTTGGGTCTAGATAGATAGATAGATAGATAGATAGATAGACAGACACCCCCATGTCTGCAGTCTGCGTGTATATCAACCTGGTCTCTCTGTGCACTAATAAAAATAATAATAATAATAATAATACATTTTATTTATTTATTTTGGTAAAAATGTCATTAGGTGCATTTCATATTTTACTCTTTTTTGTTGATTTTTTTGGACAGAGAATGTCTTGGTATCTTGATTTTAAATCAGGAAGACATTTGCCATGTTAGTGCCAGTGGTGTTGGTGGAAATGTTCATGTCCTCTCCCCTGTGTCATCTCTCAGTGGGACCACTTTTATTATTATATTATTAGCACTAGAAAGAAGAGGAAATTAAATATTATTATTTAGCATCAATTAGTTCTAATTCCAAACACATGGTGTTACTTCTATGCAATGGATGGCTCATAATTTCTAGCTGAGAACTCATTTATAGTAACATTTGATCTCCTTAACAAAAGTGTAGTTATTCTTTTGTCTCAGTTTCCTATAAACAATTAACATTTAAAAAAAATTCTAGTCTTTTACTCATTTTTGTACTCAGTTGTATCAGCACAAAAATGTGTTATCAGTGCATCCTAACTGTAAATGGGAAGGTGGCCATCAGATTGTCCAACTGTACTGCTCAGTTAAGCAGAGAAAGGCATGGAATATAAAATAAGGGTTAGGGGATATTTAAATTAGAATATGGTCACAAGACACTATTTGGAAGATGAGCATCAAGGCCAAAATTGGCCTTTGCCATACCACTGACTTTTTTAATTTCAATTCAAACTGCTCAATTTAAAAAAACAAAATGTCACACTACCAGCCACACTATTGATTAGTTAGTGATCTCTTGAGTGCAGACATTTCACAGCAATGACTACTATGCACCAACCTTACTGTAAAGTAGTTTTTACTTTTTATTAACCACCACATCACCTTATAACATAACTCTCCTGCAGATGAGGGCCCATCTCTTCCTACCAAGCAGAATGAGGGGTTCCGCCTTTTCATTAGCAGGTTGGATTCAAACTTTCGTGAGAGTCCAGCTCATGGTCTGGGCATCTATTGCATTCATCCGCAGGGTGATTGCAAACGATCTCCTTTCAAATGAACTGTGTGGCCAAAGCTTAAGTCATGCAGAGCTCATTTGTAAGAGGATGTAGCATTTTAGCATAAACCAAAGATACCAGGTTGAATTAATCAATTTATTTGTGTGTATTTGTTTGTGACCCTATGTGATCTAACAACATCATCTGTACTTCATCTTCAATTCATCCCTTGATCCCATAGCTCATCTCTATAGCAAAACTTTCATTCAATTTTAAAATGAAAAGATAATCTGTGGTAGTTCTTTCCAGATGATTCATATGTGCACTTTAAAAACATTAGTGTTATTTCAGTTTAAATATATAAATGACCAAGTAGCCTTACAAGTGTGAAAAAGAGTTGAGGATGCTGTTGACTTATGGTTCCTCAATGTTACAAATGTTTAACTGAAGTTATGTTTACTTTTCTTGTCACACATTCTGCAACTGCAATTTTTTTAAGTACTAGTATGGGTCCCTGTTTTGTTTGAATTGCCACATGCTCAAGAGTATGCAAACGTGCATGCCCAAGCAGGCAACGAGAATTCTAACTATTCTACTGATTGGTTGATGGCGGTAACACACAAAGAAGTATAGCTTAATCTAATTGGGCGTCATCTACATAGCAATTCAATTCAATTGCATTTTAGTCATGACCTTGACCAGGGCAGTCTCAGTGTTGTGTAGTCACAAAATTCTCTATGGTCTGACTGTAAGTCATAAAATAAATCAATAGAGAGAATCTTTTTTAAAATCTTTGATAAAAAGGTGGAGATGAGTCTAATGTTACCTAAAACAGAGCTTCTTTAAAAGGGGGTGAACAGTGGCTCTAGACGGAGAGCAGTTAATAATGGCTAAAATATCTTGACAAACCATCTAAAATACAGCTTTTAAAAAACAAGTGGGAATGCTGTCTGAAGGGCAGGTGGATGATTTTAAAAGTGCAACGGTGCATGTCCAGGTTGACAGAGAGATTTCACAGGTAATGTTGAAGGTGGGCAGGAACCAAAATCAACCTCTTTTGAGTTCAATGTTAAAGTGCTGACTTTCCCAGTAAACCTTCTTAAAACTATTTGGGGAACTTGTAGAATTTCATGTTGACACCAAGGGCTGCTATGAAGATTATCCAGGATAACCACATTTACTCATGATAGTTAAATATTGCTAAACTCTGTTTGCAGTCATCACAAAGAGTGTGTGCAGCATAGATGCTTTTTGCATACTGATTTGTATAACCCTCTCCAATCATTTACAGATATGTATTTAGGACATCTCAAGTCATGCATTTCCAAGTGCATGGAAATGAACACTGAGGGTTAGCCGTTACGAGCATCACATTGCTTATTAAAAGGCTAATCCAATTAGAGTTCACATCAAATTGGTAAATGGTAACCTACAACAATGAAATATTTTCTTGCTTTTCTGTGTCTACTTGAATATCGTTTACATGCCTTTAATCAAAACACTGTCCCAGCCTCAGAGTTTCAGCTGGAAGGAGATTATTTGATTGGTGGACTTTTTGATATTCATCATGTCAATGCCTCTGTTTATCATGACAGACCAGAAGCCATCGACTGCACCAGGTGAGTTTCAAAATAAATCTCAGTAAATACTTTTTCAAGTTGAAACTAATTACAAACTCTTAGTGTAACAGATTATTCCCTTTTTGAATTTTGAATAGCTTTACCCCAAAGGCAAGGTCAATAGCTAAGTCTTAATAGCGCATTTCCCCCAACACAATCCAGTTGATTACATGATAATCAAAGTTGCTGTATGACATGAAATCCCCTTTTGTAACATCCATATCTGTGTAGAGGTCTCAAGACTGATAATGCTAACTGAAATGTAATCCTACTCTCCTGTCCTTTCCCTGTCCATAGTAAACCCGTCATTCTGTCAAGCTATCGGAGGTTTCAGCTGATGAGATTCTCTGTAGAGGAAATCAATAACTCTACCAACCTGCTCCCAAATGTGTCTCTCGGCTATGAAATATTTGACCACTGCTCAGATACACAGAATTTCCCAGGTATTTTCAAACTTATCTCAGACAACGGCTTGATCCAACCTTGGGATGAACCACACAAGAATCTGTCCAAAGTGATAGCAGTGGTCGGCCCTTTTTCAAGCACTGACACCCTGACTCTGGCCCCACTTTTCATGATGGATCTCATTCCTATGGTAAGTTTGACAACATTTTTTCCCAGATATAAAATCTGTCTGTAATTAATAGGACATGATATTTAAAACTTTTGAGTGGACTTTTGAGAATTCATTGTCACTGAAAATAATGTACATTTCTCAAACACTATTTTATCAGGTCAGTTATGGAGCTGCTGCCTCTGCCTTTTCAGAGAAAGTGAAATTCCCCTCTTTCCTGCGAACAGTACATTCAAATAAATACGTCATAGATGTGATTGTTAACATCATACTGCACTTCAACTGGCGCTGGGTTGCTTTCCTTAACAGTGATAATGATTTTGGCAAAGATGGACTGGAATTGTTCATAAAGAGGATTAAGGATACAGAGATCTGCCTGGCGTACACCAAAGATCTCAATGTATATACGGATTACTACCAAATGTTCAAACAGATAGAGGCACATGAAATACACACCATTATTGTTTTTGCTCCAAAAAGTACTGCTGAAGCTGTCATTGATTCCGCAATACAACTGAATATCACAAACAAGGTGTGGATAGCAGCAGACACCTGGTCCTTAAACAAGAGACTCCCCAAGGAGAAAGGAATCGAAAATATTGGAACTGTTCTTGGGGTGTCTCAGCCAGTAGTGACCATAACTGGTTTCAGTGATTTCATCTATGCTTCAAAAAGCCAGAATCATTGTGAAAATGCAGAACAAGAGATGTTTTGTAATCAGGTTTGCAACTGCAGTAACCTGAGTGCTGAAGATATCATTGCTGCAGACCCATCTTTCTCTTTTTCTGTTTATTCTGCTGTATATGCCATCGCTCATGCCTTACACAATACTTTGAAATGTGGATATGGAGGATGTAATGGCAATATTACAGCGTACCCACACATGGTAAGTATACAAATAATTTAATAATTCAGTTAATTTAACCATCTGAATTTTTCACATTTATGATTATGACAGTCTAACCTGTAGATAAGTTATAACTCAAAATACTATTCTAATATATGTTTTGTCATGACATAAATACTGTATCATATCTAACTTTACATCCTCAAAGTAAAATTAAAGCTGATACTTCCTGTCAAACATTGCATTGGCACTGAAATATCAGGAAAGACATTTCTGAAATAGGAAGGGTCTACAATGTACAGTATCAAAGGGGCCAAAAGGGGAGTATAACATAACAACTTCCCCCTCCTGATAAATATTTTATCTTTATCAATTTAATCGGTATAAAATCAAAAGAAACAATGGTCATCTGGACTTTGTGTACCCACATCAGGTTCTAGCACAGCTGAAGAAGTCAAACTTTACACTTTTGAACCGGAGTGTGAAGTTTGATGAGAATGGTGACCCCAAGTTTGGATCCTATTCCATCGTTTTCTGGAACCACAGTGGTGATGCAGAGGAGGTCGGCTTTTATAAATTTCCCCCATCAGTCCATTCTTTCATCAACAGCACCAAAATCCAGTGGTACACAGAGGGAGAAGTAAGTTGTTTTTCATAATCATACTTAAATATATATAGATATATACTTAAAACAGTATGGCGATTAAAAATGCTGTGTTTTGTTTCCTTCCCCTTCCACAGAGATATTTGTAATTGTATACAGAGACACATGGTTTTGGTAATTCCTCAGTGTCTAGGGTGTTCACGTTTTACATTGAGACATTTAAAAGCTGCAAATACTACTCAATTCCCTCCATCCTTTTATTCACATTTTTTGCTATATACTTGTCTTGTACAGGTGCCAATTTCACTGTGTTCCCCAGAGTGCCCTGAAGGATATGCAAAAAAACAAACTGGAATCCACAAATGCTGCTTTAATTGTCAAATCTGTCCGAATGGAACATATGTCAACAGCACAGGTAAATTATTACACATGAGAGGAAAAACAACTAAAAGCAGTTTAGCACTGATGGTGTTCTCATTTTAGCCTATTTTTAAGCCTTTAATCTAAGAGGGTTTAACAATAATTTTGAGTTAATTGAACACATCTATAGGCTTTAATTTCCATTCTGACAAATAAAATGACAACTAATCTCAAGCTTAATAAGTAAAAGATAGGATAGGTTTTGCTAGTGTCTTCTGCACCACATGGACATGGGTTGTATTTGGTTGGTTATCACTACAAACAACAACATCTGTCTCTTTGTCATGTAAAACAGAAGATTCCCATATATCATCTTAGGATAATCAAGTATAAAAGAATGAAAACTGGAACATTGCTTCCTAAGCTGTATGACCTTTTTTCAAAAGTTAACCCTAACTTTATAACTTTATTGACTATCTGTCCTCCTTTGTGTCAGAAGATACAATGGCACAAGTCTAACTCTCCTTTCTAAACTGATCTCTCTTTACCCACAGAGGATTTTTCAAAAGTTAACCCTAACTTTATTGACAAATTATCCCTCTCTCATGTACAACAGAGGATCCCTACAAGTCGCAGTCCGAACCTGTAAGAAGACAAGAACTGGTCTGCAGAAGGAAGTATCATCAATGCAGTCCTGGCGGGTGGCTGGGAGTACATGCCGCCATTCACCAGACAGTGGCTATAGTGATCATGGTCCGGGGCTGCACACTTGATTGGGTCTCACACCGTAGGCCATGTCCGTTCTCTTTGCCATCCAACACCACCACAACCACCCCTGTTGTCACGATCCTGCTGCGCGCGCGCGACCAATGTGCTTCCTAATTTCTCTAGCCGCCCTCAGTCTCGCCTGTACGTCTTAGTGTGTTCTTTTCAACTTGGTAAACCAACAAGCTTCCTTTTGTAATCTTAAGGCTCTTGCATTTCTTTTGTTCCCTACAGCTGTTTGCTCTGGCATGTTTTTGTGGTTCGCTCTTCTCCAAATTGATTTGCATTTTCAAAATGCTCGCCAAGTTCCCCTTTGCTACCACCAGTTGGTGATGAACCATCATCATCGGGCAATGGCCTGGTCATCTCACGCTGTGGGCCATTTGCTTAGCTCAGCGCACTCTCTACTTCTTATTCTGCCCCTATATCTTGGTGTGCGCCAGCCCCAAAACCCATACAATCGAGACACGTTTTGTACAGCCCAGACCAACAAATCATACCTTGGTTTGGACCAGTTAATGTTTAAAGCAACTCTGGCTTTCTGTGGTTTTACTTTTATCTTTGTGGCTCCCGCTTTGCTTTATTTTCTCCCCTACATGGGACCGAAAGATCCTCGCCCCCAAAAAATTACAATGACACGCGCAACAGCAATCAACTTCTGCCTGCTCCCCTGCTCCACTCCTCCACTGGAATCGACTCCCGCTTTCGCCACTGAGCGAAGATGCTCTTTACCCCATCGGAAAGTACATCCCAAACTCGTCAAATGCTCTGGCAGTAACTCGTCCGAGTCTCTACTCCTTTCTGTTATGGTATTTCCTCCCAAAATGTTACATCATTATTTTCCAACCCCACAAAAACACACAGCTGTACTTCCAAGGCCTCATTCAGACTTATACCAAAACAATTAGCCAGTAGCAGCTTCTAGTATATGTGTTTCTTTAGACAGAGGAACTGGTGTGCCACGGGTAAATTGTAATTTGTAAATAAATGTTTTCTTGCATATTGTATTGCAGTTTATTTTTTAGGAGTAGTAGTCTTTATGTATATTGCTGATACCTTTAATCAATGATAAGGAATGTTGCCTTCCTCTGACTACTGTGATAGGATAAGTAATTTTTGATGATACTGCTAATTTGGGCTCATTAAAGGAATCGTTTTTTGAGGGAAATACGCTTATTTGTGTTCTTGGGGAGAGCTAGATAAAAGATTGACACCACTCATTTAAATATGAAGCTACAGCTTTTCTTTTTGTTTGTTGTACAACAAACAAACTATAACGTATTCATTAGTGAACTCTCATGTTGCTGGTTAGCAGCAGCTGTTCAGTCTTTATGGTAAGCTATCCATCTACTGGATTTAGCCTCATACTTAAACAGTGAGAGTAGTATGGCCTTCTCATCTAACTCACATTAACAAAGTGCATAAGCAATTCCCCAAATATTGAGATGGAGTGGATACAAAGTGCAATGGTTTACTTTCTAAATTAGCAAGCAAATATCACAGATAAAGTTAGAGTTGTATGTTTTTTAATGCCAGACCTTTCTGGCCTTGCTTGACAAGTACTGATTCATCCACACTGTTCACATGAAAACTAAATTCTGTAGTCAGAAATATACTTATACACAAAAAAAGAGTTGTTATGATAACCTGTTCCTTTGCACTTGAATAACTAAATCTAACTAAGATAATATGTGTTTGTTGGCATATGGACTGAAACATATAGAACTGTAGGATTTAATATACACTATACTTTACATACACATATGTATTAGGATATGTGTTATGTAGCAGCCTCAGGACATTAAATGGAACGTCTTAGAGCAGCACGCGTCTCCCAGGAAAAAAGAACAGTGAAAAGGATCTATTGGTAGTCATATCCACATATTTCCATTCATTCATTTCCGTTTCAACGTCATTTTCCAAGTAAAAGCACTGTAGTAATATTTTCTTTAACATGACTTCAATTGTGAAAAGATATCCGGAAGTGAACTGGTTGAAGGGCAGTATCTTTCCAAAGCGCTGTCTCGCTCTCGCTGTCTCTTGGGTAAACAAACCACCTGTGCTTTCTGGTTACCACTCTTCACATTTATGTTTAAACTAAATATAAATACACCGATCAGCCATAACATTATGACCACGTGGGCACCCTAGTGGTCATAATGTTATGCAGCCCCATACGCAACAAACTGATGCACTGTGTTCTGACACCTTTCTATCAGAACCAGCTTTAACTGTTTCAGCAGTTTAAAGTACAGTAGCTCGTCTGTTGGATCGGACCAACACGGGCGCAGCCTTCACCTCTCCCCACCCGTGGCATCACGCTGAGCTCCTTTGCTTGCCCATCGACCCTGTCTCCGGTTCACTGCTTTTCCTTACTTGGACCACTTTTGATAGGTACTGACCACTGCAGACCGGGACACCCCACAAGAGCTGCTCAAGTCCTCACGCTACCCATTTTTCTTGCTTCTAACACATCAACTATGAGGACAAAATGTTCACTTGCTACCTAATATATCCCACCCACTGAGAGGTATATATATACATATGTATTGTAAATGAAATGAAATGAAATTTTAGATTTTTCATGGACATTATACAAAGAAAAGTGTATGTGGAAACAGGGCTGTCAGCCATGCAGCCAACACACTCTCAGTGTGAATGCTGCCTGTGTGTCGGACACAGCCGTCACGCGCCGCAAATGCCACACGCTGCTCGGACAGCCTTTGTGTACAAGCTGTAACTGTCCCGTGTGTGTGTCTGTGGGGCAACTATCAGTGTGTGGGATCAAGGTAAAGATTGCAGTCAAGGGCTCCTAATGCACAAATCTGAAAGACTGCACCTAAATCTAAAAATACTACGCAGAGGGTTAGTAAAAGAACACAAGCTAAGCTAAACACAATTTAGCTTAAAGCTCAAAAAACATGTTTTAGGATGGAGTACCTCTGAGAGCTTAAAATGATGGTGCATTGGTGATTGGAAATTCATTTTAGAAGAATGTCAGAAATGTTTAACATGGACAGACAGACAGACAAAGAGAAGATCAATGCATGTAGAAAGTAAAACTTAGTCATAACATCTAAAAAACTAAAATGTCTCGGTACCAGTCACACTGTTGATTATAAAGTCATTAACCTCAAAGTGTAAATGTATAACCTTACTGTCCATTAATATTTCTTATATACATAAACTATGAGTAAAGATTGTGCAAACTTTTCAGACCATTGTGATTTCCATAATAAACCATAAACAAATATTTCTATTGTACAATTTTGGACCATGGCAATGTAGCTTTTCACTACACATTATACTTGTATATTGATGTTTGTGAAAAATTTAAGATTAATTTGATTTGATTTGATCTGACTTAATTTGATATTTGGTCTCAATGCCAAGACATGGTTAAATCTAATAACTGATTCACCATTTTTTTCTAAACTGTATCTCAATCTGTCTCACTTGATGAAGGCCTATCCCTGCCAACAAAGCAGAACAAGTAGTTCCGCCCTTCCACCACAAGGTTGCCTGTATTCAAATTCTGGTGAGAGTTCTGCAATTTATGACTTCCACCTGCCAAGTGATTGCAAATTTGTCTATTTCAAATTATCTGTGTGGTTCAATGTTCATTCGTGCAGGCATCCTTTGTAAGAGGAGGTGGCTTTTTAGCCTGAACCAAAGATAGTGGGTTGAATTAATTTAATTTGTGTGCATTTGCTTGTGACTATATCCTGTGTGATCTTACAACAGCTCAACAGCATGTTTTTAGTTCTTATTATAAAATAATGTATCATTAGACTGGAATGACCACCCCCAACTGTGTGCCTCTGACAAGCAGGCAAGTAGCAGTTTACTTCCCAGACTCATATAACATATGTAGGGAAGATTTTTAAGGAATTTAATCAAATGTATAAATGTGTATTTTTTGGATTAATGGAAGTTAATACTATATTGATGATACATATATATGATTCCAGTGAATATACATTTTTGAACTGATTAATAAAGGATTATCATAGATGTATTGCTAGTGACACTAGTGGCTGTTTTGGGCTCCAGTCAGCGTCCTGTTGCCTGTGCTCAGTACACAGTCCTGGGCATTGGCCAAAAGTGGCACTGACTAGACGGAATGCTGGAAGATAAATTGCAATCACATTTAGAGAATTGTTAATATCCGCAATGTTCCTATATTTTATTTGGACCATTAACTCCATATTAGCTTGTCGTTTGCAAATTACCCTATCAGCCAACACCACGAAGCAACCCATGCCAGACCCACACCACCGGCCAACCCTAGTTTAGCTAAGGATAACATATCCTGGAGCATGTCAGCTTGGGGAGAAGTTCTGTAAGCTGATTCTAATCAACTCACATATCCACACAGTTGCTACAGCTAGCTAGCTAGCAATTCATCCACGTTAGCAATTCATCCATGTTAGCCAGATAAAAACCACAATACACAATCACAATATATATCACAAGGTTTGCAGATATATGACTTTAAACTTTGTGTTGTGGTGGGTGCTGGCAGACTCCATTTATAAGCTAACATATTTATAACATCCGAGGGTGCCAGAGGATGAATTCAAACAACTTTGGTGTTCCCCTGACTTGTCCTCACCACCAGCAAATTTCAATTTCTCCTACACATTGGTTTATGATTAAACACTGCCTTGGACTTTGTCTTGTTATTATCTGCACCATGACAACTGCGGGTTAAACTGTTTTAAACCATTACTGTGTCTAACTAAATTTACTCCTTAGTGAAGTGTCTAGAGAACATTTTTTCTTTTTTACTTTATTTTGCTCTAAAATTAATGTTAGTCCTAGGATTAACCATGGATCATAAATAAAAGTATGCTAAATAGCCCACAGCAATCTGACTCCAAGGTAGTTAAACATAGATAATTTTTTATGTATGTCATTGTTTTTGTCATTCTAATACTGTCACACAGTGAATTTAAAAATTAAGGTGAATTTGTCATTTAGGCTAAAGGAGGCAACTTCTACATGTTTAAAAGGATTACTGTATTAATTAATGGATGAGGCAATAAACTTGCTTGCTCATGATGATTGTTAAACCCTCTGCATATACATCACAGGAAGAGGTTTTGCATACTTATTTGTAAATTCTCCTCCAAGCATTTAAATGTACGCATTCCCTTTTCATGTGCATGGACAAGATCCCTTTCTCCTAACTTACTTAAGTCAGAGGCAAATCCCATTAGAGTTCACATTAGATTGGTAAATGGTAACAATATAAATGGAACATTTATAAACTACTCTGTGTTTACCGGGACTTTTTCTACATGCCTTGGCCCAATAGACTGTACAATGAAATATTGTCTTGCTTTTCTGTGTCTACTTGAATATCTTTTGCATTCCTTTACTCAAAACATTATCCCAGCCTCAGAGTTTCAGCTGGAAGGAGATTATCTGATTGGTGGACTTTTTGACATTCATCATGTCAGTGCTTCTGTTTATCACGACAGACCAGAAGCCATCGACTGCACCAGGTGAGTGTTACAACAAATCTTGTGAGGTTGAAATTAATACAGCTAGTGTAGCATATATATATATTGTACATTCAAAATCTTTGCCAAACGTGACCTATAGCTATAGCTAAGTAGCACATGTTCCCCATAACTTAATCCAGTTAATTGCTATATTATTGCTGTATGATGTTAAATTATCTATACAAGGGTCCAAAGAATGGTGCTATTTAAACCTTCATTAACACTAATTATTTAAAGCACTGAGACAAACCCTCCATATAAGAAGTTTTGAAGCTACACTTCTAATTCTGAGAGTTAATCATTCTCTCCTGTTGTCCTTTGTCTGTCTTCAGTCAACCATTTCTTCTCCCAAATTATCGGAGATTTCAGATGATGAGATTCTCTGTAGAGGAAATCAATAACTCTACCAACCTACTCCCAAATGTGTCTCTTGGCTATGAAATGTTTGACCACTGCTCAGATACACAGAATTTTCCAGGCAACTTGAAACTCCTCTCAGTCGATGGCTTGATCCAACCTTGGGATGAAGCACAAAAAAATCAGTCCAAAGTGTCCAAAGTAATATCAGTGGTCGGTCCTTTTACAAGCACTCAGGGCCTGACTGTGGCGCCATTGTTCATGGTGGATCTGATTCCTATGGTAAATTTGCTTTGTGTTTTTACTCATTTTTAATTAGAACATTTTTTAGAACACATTTTTTTTCTTTTTATTCAATGTTAATTGTTTTATCTTAACAATATATTTAACAATATATTGACACTGAAAATGACTAATTTCTCCATTACTCTATTGACAGGTCAGTTATGGATCTTCGAGCTCTGTCTTTTCAAAAAATTTTAAATTCCCCTCTTTCTTACGAACAGTGCATCCCAATAAAGATACCATAGAAGTGATTGTAAACATTCTGCAGCACTTCAACTGGCGCTGGGTTGCTTTCCTTAACAGTGATAATGATTTTGGCATTGATGGACGGGAATTGTTCATAAAGAGGATCAAGGATACAGAGATTTGCCTGGCGTACACTAAAGATATCAGTATAAATACAAATTACTACCAAGTATTCAACCAGATAGAGGCACAGAAAATACACAATATTATTGTTTTTGCACCAAAAGGTACTGCTGAAGCTGTCATTGATTCCGCAATACAACTGAATATCACAAACAAGGTGTGGATAGCAGATGATGGATGGTCCTTAAACAAGAGACTCCCCAAGGAGAAAGGAATCGACAATATTGGAACTGTTCTTGGGGTGTCTCAGCCAGTAGTGACCATACCTGGTTTCAGTGATTTCATCTATGCTTCAAAAAGCCAGAATCATTGTGAAAATGCAGAACAACAGTTGTTTTGTAATCAGGTTTGCAACTGCAGTAACCTGAGTGCTGAAGATATCATTGCTGCAGACCCATCTTTCTCTTTTCCTGTTTATTCTGCTGTATATGCCATCGCTCATGCCTTACACAATACTTTGCAATGCGGATCTGGCGGATGTAATGGCAATATTACAGTGTACCCACACATGGTAAGTATACAAATAATTTCATTTTCATTTTGTTTTAACTTATAAAGCCTTTTGGAAGGTAACATATTTTATTGGCTATGTTATCATAATAGATGTAAACATAACCTTTGAAGCAGATGTTTACCTTCATTCAAGTAAAACAAAATAGTCAATGCATCGACACATTCTATTGATAACCCCCAATAAACTAAATTAAAACAATCTTTTCAATCTCACATAAGCAGGCTTATCAATGTCATCAAGGTGATACTCGATTTCATTAAATTTACGGAGAGCTGTCAGCACAGTGTGCTAACCTGTGCACACTTTCTACTCTGCTTACATTTCAAACATTGCCTTGTAGTTACATTGCAGTTATTCCCTCATGCAAGAATGTTTTTAAAAACCTATTTAATAAACACCTCATAAGTTTACTGTGAACAAATGCAAGTAATCTGGACTTTGTGTACCCACATCAGGTTCTAGCACATCTGAAGAAGTCAAACTTTACACTTTTGAACCAGAGTGTGGAGTTTGATGAGAATGGTGACCCCAAGCACGGATCCTATTCCATCGTTTTCTGGAACCACAGTGGTGATGCAGAGGAGGTCGGCTTTTATAATTTTCACCCATCGTTGCATTTCTTCATCAACAACAGCAAAATTCAGTGGTACACAAAGGGAGAAGTAAGTCGTTGTACTTAACAATAATATGTACAATATAATATATCAAAAGTTACAGTATATTTTGATTAAAATATTAATATTTGTTTTTGTACAAAGTGTACGTGTACAAAGTTACATTTGTTTAGTAACAAAATTTAGGAAAATCAACTTATAATGGTTCATGGTGCCAGGGACATCTAAATAAACAGCACAAAGAGATCATTTTAACAGTATTCTTTTTGCTTAACTTACATTTTATTTGTTGTCAATACTTGTCTTGTACAGGTGCCTACTTCACTGTGTTCCCAAGAATGTCCTGAAGGATATGCAAAAAAGCAAGATGGAATCCACAAATGCTGCTTCAAATGTGAAATCTGTCCGAACGGAACTTATGTCAACAGTATGGGTAAATTATAACAGTTTACATGAGATGATAAAAATGAGTTGCAGTGCCATCATTCTTTACTTGATGGGAGATGACTCCATACTTACTAAATGTTTTCCATGGCTGAGAGGGATAAACAAATGGACAGACCTATAAGCTTCCATTTCCACTCTGATGAGTAAACATGCCAATGAATGACTGAATAGTACAACCAACCAAAAGTGTAACACTACTTCCTCAGCTCTATGAAAAAAATATAACATTAACTTTTTTGACAAATTATCCCTCTC